ATGGGTTCCATCTCTAATACAGGGAACACTAGTGGTATGGCTAGATACAGAAACAAACAACAACAAAAACACACATGGCTCCGAAAGGCTCAGCTTGATTCAGGGATTCCAAGACTGTTCTTGGAGGATCCAGGACCTGCATGCCTTTAGCATCTGAGTGAGATTACCAAGCAGCAAGACAAGCTCTTATGTACAACAGCAGCCCTAGAACAAGCCAAGATGCAGGGCCGAGATCTTTCCTTATGTGCCCCTCTGTGTTAGTTTACTTATTCAGAATCCAATGCAATCCTCCAATCGAATTCTATTGAGGGTTTTGGTTTTTGGTGCCAGTACTGGGGCTTGAACTCGGAGCCTGGCAAGTGTTCTTCAGCTTTTCGCTCAAGGCTAGCAGTCTACTACTTGAGTTACAGCTCCACTTCCAGCTTCTTTGTGTCTAATAGTCTCATGTTCTTTCCTGTTCTATCTGATATCAAATCATGATCCTCCCATCTCAGCCTCTACGTTAGAATTACAGGCATGAGCCACCTGTGCCTGGCATGTTTTTTTGTTGTTGAAAACAGTGTTTCATTATAGGTCAAACTAGCTTAGAACTCACTTTTTTTGTTGTCGGTCGTAAGGGCTTGAACTCTGGGCCTGGGTGCTGTCCCTTCAGCTCTTCAGCTCAAGGCAAGCGCTCTATCACTTGAGCTACAGCGCCACTTCCAGTTTTCTGGTGGTTTATTGGAGATAGGAGTCTCACGGTCTCTCCTGCCCGGGCTGGCTTTGAACCGCGATCCTCAGATCTCAGCCTCCTGAGTAGCTAGGATTACAGGCGTGAGCCACCAGCGCCCGGCTAGAACTCACTTTTTAACACAGGCCGGCCTCAAATTCAAGATCCTCCTGAAACAGCCTCCTGTATGCTGTGCTTACATTATTAAAAGAAATGAAGAATGCTTTTTAGAAGGTGTAATTCATGAGTCTCTTCCCTGCCATGAAGAAGGAATGTTCTATTTGCTTCATTGCCTACAAACCAGGCCATACAGACTCAACATTTCTTTGTGGAGCAGTTTGTAAGGGAAGAATGTTCTGAGTTTACAAGGCCCTCCGTGCATTTTGAGAGGAGATTTTCATATTCCACGTATTTCCTTCTTTGGATCTTTCTATTTATGGGTTGATTTAAAAATAAAACTCTCTGTAGCAGAAGGGCTGTGAACCGTGAGTTCCACATCTTGAGACATCAGTCATTTTAAAGGGAATATTTTTTTAAAAAGGAAAGGAAATTAAGAAGAACATAGTTTGGTTTTAAGATGGCAGGAGTTGCTGTTTACCAGAACTTAAGAGACACATTTTCTCTTAAGAAAAAACTAAACCAGGCGCCAGTGGCTCATGACTAATTCTAGCTACTCAGGAGGCTGATCTGTCTGAGGATCAGAGTTCAAAGCCAGACCTGGCAGGAAAGTCCATGAGTCTCTTCTCTCAGTTAACCATCAAAAAGGCAGAACTGGAGGTCTAACTCAAGTAGTAGAGCATCAGCCTTGAGTGAAAAAGTAAATAGCACCCAGTCCCTCAGTTTAAGTCCTAGTATCCACACAAAACAATCATTCCTTCTTGAAAATTTTCCTTGAAGATAGGCATCATCAATGTATTGGTTTCCTTTCATGCTGATACTGGGTTCCAGGTGTTTTTGGTGGTTAATTGCAGGTAGGTGTCTCTTAAATCTGCCAGACTGGCTAGGAACCAGATCTCAGATTCCTGAGTAGCTAGGATTACCGGTGTGAGCCACCTATGCTGGGCTCCTCTTCATTTTGAATGATTGTCATTCTGATTCTTTTCAGTATTAAGAATTGCAGTGTCTGGGAGTGAGGAGAGGAGGCAACATTGTCCAAAAGAAAATGTATTCTTTGCCTGACTCATGTAACTGTAATCCTTAATAAATTTATTTTTGCCATTCCTGGAGCTTGAGCTCAGGGACTGGGCATTATCCCTGATCCCCTGCGCTCAAGACTAGCGCTAGACCACTGGAGCCACAGCGCCACTTCTGGCCTTTTCTGTTTATGTGGCATGGAGAAATCTAACCCAGAGCTTCATGTATCCTAGGCAAGCACTCTACCACTAAGCCACTTTCCCAGCTCCTTAATAAAGATTTTTAAATAATTAAAAAAAAAAACTGCAAGTGAATAGAGTCTGTTAGAGGCTATGTGATGCATAACCCTTCTATCATCCCCTTGGGCTTTTTTAGTCAAACACACAGCAGGTGCTATTAAAGCCTTTCCTTGGACTTGAGAATTCCTCCAAAGGCCTTTGCTTTTCAACTCCTGACTTTTGTACATGCTTCTGCACTTCATAAGCACAAGTTCTTCCCTGCCATCAGTAGCAACTGAAATGAGCTTCTTTGATTTGTCTCAACCATCTCAACCATTCCTAAGGTCTCCTGCTGTCCTGAGGTATCTTCCCTCTTGGCTTCCATCTTTGGTTATTTCATCTTGTAAGCTACTTTTTAAGACTATCAGGTCACAAGCCTGGAGTATTCCAAGAATCTTAGCAACTCCCTCATTTAAAGTCATTTAGGGGGTGGGGAAACCCTCATCAGCTTGCCCATTTAATCCCTCTCCTCTCCTGCAGCTGGTCACCAAAACAAATCTTCAGACATCCACAAGTATCTGAGCTCCTCCTTAACATTAGCTGTTTACCTAACAGAAGGTAAGTCTGAAACAACCCAGCCAGATCCATGCAATCAGATCATGAAGGCATATTCTAAAAAGCTGCATTAAAATAAATTTAAAGAGAGCCAAGGGGGAAGTCTATTTGTCCAGGGGCCTGTAGCTCACAGCTATACTCCTAGCTACACAGGAGGCTGAAATCTGAGGCTCTGTTCCAAGCCAGCCCAGGCAGGAAAGCTTAGGGGACTTGAGTGGTAGAGCACCAGCCATAAATGGGGGGTGGGGAGGGAGGGGAGTTATGGGACAGTAAGTTCAAGCCCCAGTATTCACGCACATGTGTACTCATATACACACACTCCTGTTAATGGTATTGATGTATTCTATAACCAAATTATTAGCTTGCCAGGACCTTCTCAACTCAACATACCTTCAATCTCTCTTGGTCAAGGTGGAAATCTCTCCGGCGTAACAATTTTGTGGATAGTTACAGCTAGGTGGTATAGTTGTTCTAGCATCTTCATCCCATTTGCTCAAAGAAAACATGGCGTAGTCAGGATTAAGCATGTATTTATTTTAGTTCAGTTAAAACAAACATTGTTTCATTGAAACTGGTGTAAGCACTCTTCGCCAACAAGCCACACTGGAATTGTCGGACCTAACAGTACAGTGGGACCTATTTACACTATATACACACCAAGCTGACACACCCAGGACTTCCAAGGGCTTTATCACACTACATCACATTTGATTTCACTGTAGGTCACATTTAGGTAATTACTGCATTTTGAAAAATTTAGACCAGACTTAAAATTTTTGAATTCTCACCCAATTTTCATGGGATGGGGAGGGGCAACCCAATATCCAGTTTATCGCCAGATAAACAAGTATCTTAAATGTTTAGTATTTGTACTCAATGTTGATTTGTTTTTAATATGAAATTCTCTGTACAAGTACTTTTTTTTTTGGAGGGGGGGGTTGAACTCCAATATGTCCATTCATCAAAATGCAGTTAAGTTACATGTATATATACACTCGAACCCAAGACCCAATCCTGACATTATATACAGCCTATTTACAAATACACAGACAAGACAATGTATGTACAGAAGGTTATCATAAATATTGAAAAATAGGTTAGCTTTAAATGGATTGATGCTGTTCTATAAATAACATTACAGTTACAACTGAGACACCTATGGAAGACAGTAATGCAAAATGAGGTGACTGCTCCTTAATGGAAATTCACTGTTTGGGAAATCTCAAGGCAGACAAGACAGCTCCAAAAAAAAACCTCACAGCTTGATTTTGAACCTCAATGAGCCAAGATTAGGGGAAGCTTCTCCCATGAAGATGATTCTGTTGTTTCATTCCTTCTCGGTTGCCATTGTACATTCTCCCATACAAAAGGATGTAAACTGTAGAGAATTGTTTTCCTCTTGCAAGATCTCTTCAGGAATTCTTTCCCAAGAGTTCCAGCAGAAGTGCCAGCTCTCAGAGAACTGCTGGACTAGAACAGCGCACACAGCCCCATCACACGGAAAGCAGAGTTGAGGCAATCTGTCTGCTCACAAGGGTTGGAAGATGGTCCCCAGTTATCTTTGTAGAAACAAAAATGGACCACTGCTTTCTTTTTAACCCAATGTAGCACTACAAGACGTCTTCCAGTTCCGCAAGGGTGTTCAATCAATCACAGACACAATTTGTCTGTCAATCGAGTCACATATAATACAAGAATGTGTAACAAAAACCATGTTTGCCTCACTTCTGGCTCTCACCTCCAAGTACAAAACGTTTAGTTCAAGACTAACCTTAAGAGCCAGACAATCAATTGATTCCATTACTTGCTTCCCTCAACCATTTAATGGAATTACGTATATTAGGTCTTAAACATTACGCCGGATGGGCAAAGTACCACATTATTGGAGAATATATTCACCAGTCACCGTTAACATACAGTAAATGTGCTCTGAAAGCCAAAGTAATGTTTCCACCTCTCACTGCAATTGAAATGGAAAGGTGAACATGCAGGTGGACCAAGATCTAAGAACAAGGTTGCACTGTTTTTCCCCCAGGTAATCATTTGCTGGATGTAAACAAATTATTTGTGTTGTACAAGAAGGAAATTACAGTCCTTTGTGAAGATTTTGGGGGGGGAGGGGGGTGAAGAGGGTGCTGGCACTGGGGTGCTTGAACTCAGGGCTTGGGTGCTGTCCCTGAGCTTTTTCACTCAAGGCTGATGCTCTACCCCTTGAACCACAGCTCTACTTTTGGCTTTTTGTTGGTTAATTGCAGGTAAGAATCTCAGACTTTCCTGGCAAGGCTGGCTTTGAACCATAATCCTCAGATCTCAAGACTCTTGAGTAGCTAGCTAGGATTTGATTATAGGCATGTGCCACCAGCACCAGGCCAAATTGAGTCTTATTTTTAAAAGCTTGCTGTGTAAGTAACCCAATATCCTGATGAACAGAACTTGTACTATACCAAACATCGGCGTAACCAATGAATAAAGACCACTACTGTGAAGACAAAACACATACACGACTAAGCCGCACATTGTCAAGTAAATCACACTTCCAGTAAATGAGCATTTTGCAAAGTTGTACTCTGGATATTTGGCCTATTGCCATCAAATGCCCATTTTCCACTACTAGAAGCAATGTTTTTTTTTTTTTTTAAAAAGGGCTGGCCCAGAGCTGTCAATACAATTCTGTAGACAGATGCAACTGAATAAACCCTGTTTTACCCAATTGCACTCTATTTGGTACCTCAAAAAATCAGTCATTTTTATTTCCCATAGAAATATCTTCCATTGTGTCCATCCTCACATTTCATCTGAATAAATCAAATTATTTGCAGACAGAATGAACAGATTTCAACCTGACTTGGTGTAGCAATCAAATACTCTTTAAACGAATTTCAATGGGAAAAAAAAAAGCTCCCAATTCATAATACAAGGTCTTTTTGCTTTGTTACATCATTTTCTCTAAAAATTATTTTGGGTAAAAAAGTATTTGGCTTATTATAATGCCTACAAAAAAGGCAAATCATTTCATAATACTAACATTTGTTTTTAAATACCAATGAAGTCATTTTACGGAATTTATTGTCAACTGTTTGTGGAGAGTTCAAAAACAGAAAGCAATTTCTTAAAAGTAAAATAGTGCTTCTGAGGTCTTGAAGTATCTTTTTCTTTTTGGTACAAAAAAATAATAAGCATTTTTCCCCCTCAATGGTTTTCTCAATACTTTGCTCTAAATGAACATTTGTTTCTCACATCGAATGGTTCCATTAGGCACATTCAAGTAAAATCATAAAATATCCAAGTTAAACAATGACACAGCCAAGCATGTGGCTTGATAAAAGTTAAAGAGTCTGTCCATTCTCTGGAATGGAATAAAATTGTCACTTCCCTTAACCCGAGACTCGTGGTTTTGTTGTCAAGATTCCTAACATACAGATTAAGTTTCTTTAAAAAAAACAAAAACAATAACAATAATTAAAAAATTAAAAAAAAAAAGTTCACTTATTCTGCATCCAGAAGAACCAGCGAGGAATCTGCACTTCAAAAGGAAGTGAACGGAAAACATCAGGTGAAATTTCATAGTAGTTGAGAATGACTCAACACTGGCACATCATCCGAGGGATGATTTTGAGTTTCAGCGGTACCAATTAAGGGCCACCTGCAGGGGGGTTGTGTACCCAATCCAGGACAATCAGAGCCATGCTTCCAATCATCACCACCACACCACTGATCAGGAAAAGCAGAGCCTGCAAAAAGCACAGAGAAAGCCCATCAGTAGGCAGAAGGCAAATGCAAAATATCTCTCTATAAGGTAGCTGATGTATTTTACATGTCTACATAAAAATGTGCAAGTGGGGGAATATGCCTATACTTTCCACGTGTTCGGGGAAATTTCCCTTTGTATTTTGTTGCCTCAAATATAAAGCAAATTTTCTTGCTGAACAAACTTGGGCTTCAACTCAGGAGTCTGCACACTGTCCCTTAAGCTGTTTCACTCAAGGCTAGCACACTAACACCTGAGCTTTAGTACCACTTGGCAGCTCTTTGGTGATTAACTGGAGATAATCTCACTTTCCTGCCCAGGCTGGCTTCAAACAACCCTCAGATCTCAGCCATATGAGTAGCTAGGAATACAGGTATGAGCCACAGGTACCCAGCTTAAACTGTTTTATATAAAGCTGGCATAGCATGTGTTTTTGTGCTGGTACTGAGGTTTGAACCAAGGGTGTCCCAAAGCTCTACCATTTGAGCTTCTGGCTTTTTGCTGATGAATTGAAGATGAAAGTTCTCACATTTGTCTACCTGGGCAGGCTCAGGAACCATGATCCTCAGATCTCAGCCTTCTGACCAGCTGAGATTATTTGCAATTCTTACACAAATCACAAAGGTCAAACTTAAGTCAAAAGCCAATTCTTCCTGAGAGCCATGAGTTACATTTCTTCCTTGTCTCTCTCCAATTACTAATTCTGTATATATACTCTCTATGAATAAAACAAGATGGCACTTGCTAGTTCATAGCCACGTGCTTTTAAATCAGACCAGAATGGTAATGACACATTATGATAACTGAAAAGCCGTCTCTTCCCCTAAATATAGCCAGTAGGATTTTGCTTTCAGAAGCATGTTTTGCGGTTCACATATACTGTATGCCACCAATTGTTGTTACACTGTAAACACACAATACTGATCTTGCTTTGAGGACTGTCACTTCTCATTCCACTCAACTATTCTTGTTTTTTCTACATTTCTTGTCTATTTCTTGCCCATCACACAGGAGAGGCTGGCAAATGTTGAAAACTGGGTCAGTACTTTTCTTCTCTTTATCTCCAACTTTTTTGCAATGAAGTACTTGGATGGCAAACTACACTCTCAATCCATTTTCTGTCAAGTTTATTGCTTCAAAAATGTTTACTAGGAACTTCAACAGTGAAACTGTAACACTGACAGTCAGAAAACTTTTAACACTCGTAATTCCTTAGCCACTCAGGAAGGGTGAGATCTGATCATTTTCATCCGAAGCTACCCCGGCAAAAAGTCAGAAGTGATGGTGGTGTGGCTCAAGTGGCAAAGCGCCAGTGTATGAGGCCCTGCGTTATAGCCTAGTACAACACTTAACATGAATATCAGATGGGAGAATTTCTGAGTTCAAGGGTCACTGCTGGTTCTATAGCTGTCTTTCACTTACCCCCATCTTCTGTACAGTTTTCATTGGTTCCTTCTTTACCAACTTGATATAGAAGGCAGATGGGAGAATAAAAATCAGCATAGCAGCTGCCGATGCACCTGTAAAAAAACATTTACCATTTCTTGAGTATGAATCATTTCCCTTTTTGTTAAGCATTTCACAGCTCTAAGCATTTGAACCTAAACTTACCAATGAAACCAAAGATATCTCTTATATCTGGGACAAAGATGACAAGCAAGTTAGTAAATCCCAAAATGCACAAGGTAATGAGAGTATGCCTCCACCAAGAGAAATCTTTTGCTGCACATAGCAATTGTGTCACAGAGCTCCGGATCTGGGGAAAAAAAAGAAAGATGGAAATACATAAACGACACCCAGTTTTAAAGAACACAAAGATTTTTCCAAATGATAAGGCTTTAATTATTTTTTTTAAAGAAAAATGGTGCCTTTTCCTTTGCTGTTAAAGATCACCAGTTACAGAGAACCTTACACTAGTCTTTATACTAATGGCTTATGCCATTATCATGGTTTGAAACTAGTCCAGACGAATGAATTGAAGAGATTCTTACTAATTAACTAGCAAAAAGGTAAAAGTAGAGGCGTGGCTCAACTGGTAAAGGCCCAGTCTTGAGCAAAAAACAAGTCAAGTGAGAAAAAACAAGAGGCCCTAAGTTCAAGCTCCAGTATTACTGATGTACACACACACACACACACACACACACACACACACACACACACACACACTCCCTATTTAAAGAGCAGGTAATCATACTTACTGGAAAAATAACCACTGGTACTGTCAGGGTGACAGCCATCAACACAGCCAGACGGACAATAAGAAGAAGAATATCAGTTTTCTTGACAGAAGAGTAGGTATGAAGCAATTCTGGCTCAACATGTTCTAAGGAGGGAAAAACCAGAAAAGCTGTCAGCATGCGGTTTTCTCTGGGGATCAAATAAATCTAACTTACAGTAAAATCAGTACTAAAATTATTAGCTACTCAGAAAATGGCTATGAACTAAGAGGCTAATAAGATTAATTTGGAATTATGGCTAATGCAATTAAACTAACATTGAAGGGAAATTTTTCTAAATACCAAGTAGAGATTTAGCCACATGATCTCCATTAAAAACAACAGAATCAAAATCGCTAAATCCCATGATTTGGCTTAGTTTGTATGTGTTGTACAGTTAGGTGATAAGAAACTGGTATGATCAATTTATCAGACAGAGGCAAGGATATTAAACAAACATGTCCTCCACCCTGGTCTCTAATGTGATCTATGCCAAATCAGACGGAATATTTAAATGGTCAACCTATGCCCAATTTCTACCAAGCACCTGTGGCTCACATCTGTAATCCTAGCTAATCAGGAAGTTCAGATCAGGTTTGCAGCTCAAAGCCAGTCCATGTAAAGTTCATGAAACTCTTATCTCCAATTAAATACCAAAAAACCCAGTGGTGGAGCTGTAGCTCAAATTGGTAAGAGCACTAGCCTTGACTGAAAATCAAGCAAGAGTGTGAGGTCCTGAGTTCAAGCCCCAATTATCAACACCACATACCCACAAAAAAAAAATCTAAACATAAGCCATCAACTTCATTATTCTTAAAAGACTAAAAATAAACCATCAATTTAATTAAATGATTTAAAAACATTATTTACCATAAAATGTCAGGTATCCAAAGAGGGCAGCAAACAGGTACATGAGGAACATTGCAAAAAATGAAATCTTAGACACATTCATCATTCTCCTCCGGCTTCGGCTATATAAATCCAAAGGAAAACAAATACGTCATCTTAGCAGCAGTTATAAAATTACTATCTAGTACATTCCCAAAGAATTTATATAAAAATAAAGCACCCTTTCAGCTCCTCATAGATGGGAAGAACAGCAGGGTGGCAGACGAAAGAAAACGTCAGAATTGGCACTGCATACACTGTCTGCAAAAAAGAAAAGGCACCACTTAATCTCCTGATGTAATATACTGAAGTGACTTTCTCACCCATGCTTACGCTATCTTGGAAACAAAGCCTACAATTAGTTTCCCTCCATTCTCCAGCATCTATTCATTATGTGGGGTCAATCTCCTCACTTTAGTGTGAACTGGTGATTTTGGTTTTCTTGTGTAGCAGTCCTGGGGTTTGAACTCAAGGCCTGTGTCCCAGAGCCTGTTTTTTTTTTGCTCAAGGCTAGAACTCTACCGCTTGAGCCACAGCTCCACTTCTGGCTTTTTGGTAATTAACTGAGGATAAGAATCTCATGGGCTTTCCTGCCTGGGCTGGCTGTGAATTGTGATCCTCAGATCTTAGCCTCCTGAGTAGCTAGGATTACAGGCAAGAGCTACTAACATGACTGTGACTTAAGTTTTACTCTGAAACAAAGCCACACTTGCTTTACAGTGGTCAAAAACTAAACTCTTGTGCTTTTTTTTTTAATATGCCCTTCACCTTAGAAGTTATTTAAAAAAAATCTCTAGTGGGGAGTTTCCCACTTTCCTTCCCTAACTCTTATAGATTGAATAGTTACCTGAGAGTTGAAGATAAAATATCGAGGTTTGCAAGTGTCTGCTCCAGTGGCATTTAAGCCCAATTCAGATGCAAAAGCTGTTGGGTGTGTTAGGGTGTTGTTCATTGTCTCATTAAGTATCAAAGCAAATTCCAAAGGACAAGGAATCTGAAATTTCTTGCAGATCACCTGAAAACATATTTCGTTTGCATTTGTTCAACTAAACAGTGTAAGAAGAATTATAAAGAATATTTTCTATAGAGACAAAGGGTACCTACCACAATCAGAAAGAACACCATACACAATAAGGAAAGGCCACTGGTATATCCCAAATATCCTACAAGGAGGGGAAAAAAACCCACCATTAATTAAATGTAATATGGGAACATGGGGGCAAATGTCTGAGTTTCAATGAATAATGCAATTCTTCAGACTTGGGGCACTTCCTGAACAGAATATCCAATTCTATTGAAAGGGGGTGACATTGATCAAGATATATTGCATTCATAAACTGCTCTTTTAAATGTCAACTCCTTTACACAGCTTCTTAAAGGCAGTTGTAAAATAAATAAAATTTTTAAAATACAGGCTGAATTCTAGTCTACTAAGGTATCTATTTCCTGTAACCAAAACTCTAATAAAAACAAAAACTATCATCCTGTATTATTTACAAAGCACAGGCTATAACAGTTGTCAATGGGATACTCTTTAAGCTACCAGAGTTTCTAATAAGAGTTATCCAACCAACTGGTATGGCATTAATGGAGTTTGCTATGGGATGCAGGTTGTGGCTCAAGTGGTACAGGCTATAAACCTAGAAAATAAAAGGAGAGAGGGAAGGTGTTACTCACCTAAATTTCTTAGCAGCGACAAAGGAAGAATAAGCACCAGTGACACCAGCAAAACCAAATAGTCCCCTTCGAGATACCATTCTCTGAATTAAAAACAAAACAAGAAACAAGATCAAAACTAGTTAGACAATATGCACATCTTCTAATAGTAGATTCATTTCTAGACATACTAAAACAGTAAATACACAAAGAAAGAAAAGTTTTGACACCAGGTGTTGGTGTCTCATGCCTGTAATCCTAGCTGAGGAGGCTGAGATCTGAGGATCATGGTTTGAAGCCAGCCCTGGCAGGAAAAGTCTGCAAAAGGCCAAAAGTGGTTCAAGTGGTCAAGTGCCAGCCTTGAGCTAATGGACAGTGCTAAGGACCTAAGTTCAAGCCCCAATATTGGCTAATACACAGAAAAAAAATAAAGCACAATTGTGGAGACACTATAACTTTTTAACTCTGTTTGCTGGATGAATATGTATTCAGGTTAAAAAATGGGGTATGGAAACAGTGGGACTTTTGTTTTGTTCCACTGTTTGCTCTGGGAAGAGAGCCAGCAAATTCATAACATGAAATGCTTCATAAAGGCTAGATATGAATGCCAGGCACAAGGCTGCATTGTGAAGCCAGTAAGCCCATCTTTAAAAATGTATGCCAACTGAGTTATAGCTTTAGCTTACCATTTGTAGTAACACGCTAAACATAAGGCAATGTTGCAGAAGATTTTTGGATTGTTTTTTCCCCCCAACATTTGTTAGCAAGTATACTCACTAAACATTTCAATTAGAAATGGTCTCACACTTAAGATTAAAATGCATAGGGAAAACCCCTTAAAAAAAAAACAAAAACCAAAAACCTAGTTATCAGTTGTGATGCGTTGATTCACCTTGACTCACTGTGATGGCTTCATTCACCTTGACTCCAGAGACAAAATAACCACACCTGTCCACTTGGAAGTAAACAATCTACAAGGTGGAAAGTAAATCAGCCCTGTGTTTACTTTCCATTGAAAAAACAAAAAAAAACCCTAGACCACTAGAATGAGTAAGTCTGCTAGAGTATGATTTCTATTCTACAGCATAGCGATACATTTGATGTATTCTACATCAAATATACCCTAAGGATTTTGGTTGTTTTTTTGAGATAGGGTCCCTGTAATCCTAGGCACTCAGCCTCCTGAGATCTGAGGATCTTGGGTGCAAACTAGCCTGGGCAGGAAAGTCCCTGTAAGTGAGACTCTTATCTCCGATTAACCACTCAAAAACTGGAAGTAGTGCTGTGGCTAAAGTGGTTGAGTATTAGCCTTGAGCACGAAGAAGCTCAAGCGACAGCACCCAGGCTGTGAGTACAACCCCTACAACTGACAAAAAAAGATGAGTGCGATTTACAGCTTTCCTTAGGGGTGAGGTCCCTCTGTTGAACAGTGTGAATAGTAACAGAAAAGCTCTAAGAAAACCTGTTTTCACATACAGGTTAACTATTTAAATCATCTGAAGTTCTAAGAGCTCTCTTTGTTTTTTTTTCTCAAAAACTCAAATCTTCTTCCAAGGGGATTCTTGGTCGGTAACTTCATGAAAATTATTATTTGTGTCTATCTCTGACAAAATATACGGAAGCCATTCCAGACCAGGAACTATTCCTTACGAGCACCCTTACTTAGCACCTACCCATTGGACTCTCCATCGTTCATTAATGCCTTGATCACCAAAGGTAACTCAGATTTCACTATGAAGAGGTAGCTTGACATAGCTGGAGGAGAAACATAATTAGACTATTACAAGCTGCAAAATGAGGCCTTGTCACCTTAAACAAAAATAAATGAATAAATCCTTACCTCCAATGTTCTGCATTGTGATTGATCCAGAAGCAGCTAGCTTTCCTACTATTCCAAATGCCTTATGCCCCAACTGCTCATATGATAAAGACCCTACAATAAATGAGAAGAACACAGAAACTTCATGAAGGAAGCAGTTCTATTAAGAGGGAAAAATCACGAGAAGAGGGAGAAATTACTGAAAAAAAATCAAGAACACAACATACCTCCTTCATTGGCAGTCTTTAAAAGGAGATGTACAGAATAGAGGGAAAATATTGACACAAATGTCAAGAGAATTCTGGTGAGAAAAGGGAAAGGCAGAGTTATATACAAGCAGGGCAACTCATGACAAGTAGACTTTGTTTAAGTAACATTCAATAAGGATATCTTATTTGTGTCAAAATGATCCCCCAAAACTAGTGTGTTCCCTTTCCTACTAGTTGGAATAATAACTTCATCTTTCTATGTGCCAAGTGACAGTTGTAGTATTAAGTAGTAAGAGGAAGGATTCACTGTGTAAAAAAAAACAAAGTAGCTGAAGACCCAATGTCCCTGCATAGCCATGAGGCATATTCTAGTTTTGGTACCACAACAGCTATCTATATACTTGTCATGTCTCTCTACACTTTCCATTTTGTTTCTTTGTCTACATTCTGAAATGTCTTCATCTGGAAATGCTTGGTAAAAAAAATCTGCCGTTAAACTCAGTTCACAAGGCTTTTTTGGGTGTGAAATTCAATTGTGACAGGAAAGGTCTAGAAACTAAAGGAAGAAGGGAAATGATACTATCATTTCTAGTGTCAGATACTAACAAACTGTACTAATGGAGCACAGTCAGACAAGGAACCACTGTGAGGCAATCCTACACTGCACTCTGGGGAGAAAGACAGGCAGCTGTGTTGCAAATTAAGCAATGCTGAGCTGTTGCCAGGGGCTTACAACTACAATCCTAGCAACTCAGGAGGCTAAGATCTGAGAATCATGGCATGAAGCCAACACAGACCAAAGTCTGAGATTCTTTAAACACCACAAAGCTGGAAGTGGAGGTGTGGCTCAAGCGGTAGAACACCAGCCTTGAGCAAAACAACTAAGGGACAGTGCCCAGGTCCTGAGCTCAAGCCCTAGTACTATCACAACAAAAAAGCAAACACATGCCTCTGTTAGACCAAGTAGGCTATTAGCTTCATCCAGTAAGCTGTCCCTTACTGGAGTAAGAAAAGGGAAAAAGAGTTCAGGGTAGAACTAAAAAAACCCTAGTGCCACTTAATTCTCCTTTAATGTGACTTTTTTTTTTCTTTCGACTTTCCTTCTAATCATGAAAGTAGACAAAGGAAGTCAGGTCTGATGGTGCATGCTTCTAAGGAGACTGAGGCAGCATTGTAAACTTTCAGCTAGACTATTATATAGTAAGACCCTGTCTCAAAACAAGGGGGTCCCAGGCACCGGTGGCTTATAATCTGAGCTACTCAGAAGGCTAAAATATAAGGATCATGATTCATAACTAGCCCAGGCCACAAACTTTGTGGCTTTTTAATTAACCAGTAAAAAGCAGGAAGTGGAGCAGTGGCTCAAGTGGTAGAGCAGCAATCTTGAACAATAAACTTAGGGGATGGTGTGCAGGTCATTGAGTTCAAGTCCTAGTATAGCTATACAACGGGAATCAAAGGAAGGACTAAAGAGTAAAAAAAAAAATCCAGGGAAGTAAAAAAAAAACCAAAACGCTATCACAATCCTTTGAGTTTTGATTCTATATGGCCAATCTGCACGGCACATGTAACATGCCAGCAAAGGAATTCATGTCTAAAGACAAAGGAATTCATGTCTAAAGACTAAAATGTAGGAGGCAGTCCTGAGCTACAACATATATTGGTTTACTGAAAATAAGTGAACTCCTTTCATGTCTTACTCAAAACTGAGGGACAAATGGACTTTACATCTTTCGTGGTTACTTTCAACTTAAGATAGGTTCTACTTAAGCTGGAGTGATTTAAGATAAGCAGTCTTGTGGCTCTTGCCCCATCTTACCTCTAAATACAATGCAAATACAGATGAATAAAAAACTCACGCAATGTCGTTATCATTTAGCCATTTATTAAAATGGTTAAACACATAATAAGCTTAGTAACATCAACAGTTTTGCTTTTGTGACAGTTTCCATTGAGTCTCCTTCAAATTCTCTAGTCACACTTTAAAAACTGCTTCTAGTTTTGATACCAAGAGTTAAGGGTTTCAAATAGTGACAGAACTCACCATTCAAGTTTCCCACTAAAAAACTTTGAAATTCTAGGACTCTTTCTGTGTAAATAGCTGCCCTTCATCTAAGCTCAATTAAACAAGCTCCAATGAATCCTGCCTTCATTCAGTTCTCCAAGCTAGGCTTAAAAAGTCTCAGTGTGGAATTTCTCAAAAAGCAGTGACTTGCAAAGGTGCTTGCCTTTGGATAAACAGTCTATTGTGCTCAAGAAAATAACTTGAGATGGCACCAATCAGCTAATAAAAAAAAAACCAGTCACAAAAGGGACAGTTGCATGCCCAATTTTCCTCAACTGTACCGTGAACACATTAAGTCAAAGGGCTATCTGCAGAAAATGATTTAGCTGACAGTCCACAGGTACTTAAAGGTTATGGCTACAGCATTAAAATCATTGAAAAAACACTTGCTCAGAACTACATGTACTTTGGTGCCTACTCTACTAGAAATAGGGGTGGCTGTTTTTCTTATTCTACAACTAGCCAAAAAGTCCAAAATGTTTGTTAAAAATAACTCTTCTTATACCTTCAATAAGGACAGCTAATTCTTAACTAGGTTAACTGGATGGAAAACGTTTAAAAACTGGTATTTATTACAATCATTTGGGAATCTCAGAGCTGAAAAAAGTGCATTTGAGAAAATATGCATGTAAATTACTTTTCAGTTACCTAGAAAATTATGACTCATTTGTCCTAAGGCAAACATGTTCCAGGTGAGTTATATATCACCACACCTCACACATTCAGAATTTTCTTTTCCTTACGCATATGAGGCCATAGGTCCTAGGGAAGAACTTTTCAATTATCAAACTCATCTGGAGGCATCAAGTTACTAGCAATGTTTGGCTTTTCCTCCACCAGTAGAAAAATTTAGTTACCCTAGACTTACCCATTTTTGTTTTCATTATCTAGTCATCTATTAAAACTTGTTAACTATTTCCATTTACTTAGCAAGACTTTGGGCTTCATTTGTCAGTTGTTAAGTAATACCGGATGTTCCCTAATTGGCTTCTTTGGCATTATACAATATGTAGCAAAATAAAGAGATTTAGCTGTGTCATACTTTCTTTTAATGTTAAGCAATTGTTAAGTCACTATGTGAACTTTTAAATTCAGTTTCCGGAGCCAAAGTACTATGCTTTTAATCATATTAACTACCCTGCACAACAGACTCACTTACACATACTTACATAAAAAGAGCAATTCCAGTATTAGCCATGGCAAAAGAAAGCCCAAGGATTCCACTGCCCACAATCGCATTGCTCAGATTAAATACTGACATTCCAAAGGAAGTAGTACCTGGATTCTATACAGAGGGAAAACGATAACCAAACATATAACAATAATTAAATGGAGAACACCAGCTTTGGGCAAGTTAGATTTGAAATCTAAAAGTACAACTATGCTTTTTACTCCATTAAACCTCAGATACACAAATGATTATGGTTAACTTACAAAGTCTGATTCATACTTCTTCTTCCCCAAATTTGATTCAAGTAAAAAGTTCTGGTTTTCAGGATCGACATCAACATAATGGCTGTTAAAAAAACACAAACACACACAATAATTTTAAGTTGCCTTTCTGAGCTGAACATAAATTACCTTTTTTTTTTGTTGGTCCTGAGGCTTGAACTCAAGGCCTGGGCACTGTCCTTGAGCGCCTTTTGCTCAAGGCTAATGCTACAACACTTGAGTCACATCTCCACTTCCGGCCTTTTCTGAGCCGTTCACTGGAGGTAAGACAGATTTCTGGCCTGGCCTGGCTTCAAGTGCAAATCCTCAGATCTCAATCTCCCGAGCAGTGAGGATTACAGGCGTGAGCCTTGGGCACCCTGCTAGAAATTATCTTACACTCACTGCACTAACTCAACAAATGGGACTCTTCCAAATGCCATGGTCACCCAGAAAAACAGAAGCGAGGTCCTCAGATGTGTGAAAGCCTGTTAGTTCACTATTTTATGTCTGTGCTGAGGCTTGAACTCTGGACCTCATACTCTCCTGGGTTTTTTGGTGTGTTTTGTTTGTACCGCAGGAGGCACAGCTCCACTTTGGCATCTGGATGGAGAGTCTCACACTTTCCTGCCCCTGGGCTGGCTTTGAACCACGATCGTCAGATCTCAGCCTCTTGAGCAGCTAGGATTACAGAGGTGAGCCACCAGGGCCCCCCGTTTTCATGTATTTATAGTGACGGTAAGAGCCCAACGTCTCCCACCTTTTCAGAGCAGCTTGCTTGGTGGGGTAGGAGTAGTTGAAGTCGCTGTTGGAGCTGTAACTGCTGCTGTCCTCATCGGGGGAAATATTGAACCTTCCCATTTGGGTTTTCTTCATGCTGAGCATGGACGGGAATTAATCCGGGTGCGGCGGAGCTCAGGCGGAGCAGGAGAGAGCAGCGCGGGGGGCTCCTTTTGTCCTTGGCTGAAATGCAGCGGGCCCTCGAGGAGGCTCAGCCTGGAAGGTAGAGGCGGCGCGTCAGGACCGCAGCGCCCGCCCCGCCCGGGTCACGTGACGCCCGCCGGGGCGGGCGCCGCGGCGGCTGATTCATCCCCGGCCAGGCGAGTGGAAAAGTACCAGCCGCGCGCGAGGGGCGGGGGCGCGCGCCGAAGGGCGGAAAAGTACCGACGGTGCGGGGCCTCCGCCACCGCCGAGAACAAAGATGATCCCACCACCGTGCGGCGCCCGACCGCCCGCCCTGCCCAGGACACTTCCACAGGGAGGTCGGGCACTTCACCCTCTCTCCATTGTCCCGTCCCAAGGGGTGGACGGGGGAAGGGCACGAGGGAGGAGGGGGAGGTTCTGCTCCTGCTGCACCCCTGCGGCCCCGATCGTGCACAGGCACGCCAGGCGCGGACACACACACACACGGCCCTGGCACCGAATAAGCAGGCATGCACTCCCCCCCCATCCGCCACCTCTCCACCAGCACCGGGGGGGGGGAGCAGCAGCAGTCCCGCCCCGGGGTTCCTTTTGGCTCTGCGCCCCCCACCCCCGATGGGGAAGTGTCTCTGCGGCACCAAAGCCCCCCCGGAGACGGTGGGGAGGTAGAGTCCCCCTCCCTCCCCCCGTCTCGCGCGCTACAGCGGGTTTGTTTACACGCGGCCTCCCCCCCCGATCCCCTCCCCACCCGAGTCCACCAGCGCGCGGGGCGCCGGCGCCCGCGTCGCCCCACCTCGCCCCTCCTATACCCGGAAAGAAACTGATGCAATATCGATCTCCGATTGTCAAACGTTCCCGCTTCCCTCCCCCTACACACACACACACACACACGTCTTCCTCAATCTGGGGTTCCCCGTTACAATGAAAAGTCCACCCACCCACGACTCCGGGACCCCCCAATTAATTTTTTTTCTCTAATGAATGCACATCCAGTCACAAGACTTGCCGCAACGGAGCCGCGGGCTGGGAGGGCTCCCTTCCCCCCTCCCCTCCCCGACCCCGTCCAACCGCGAGACGCGGGCGCCCGGCCCGCGTTCTGCACCCACCCCTCCATCGGCCCCCTTCCCCCTCCCCGAGAACCCCCGCCCGCCTGTCGGGAGGAAGTGGGGGGCCCCCCGCGCCGCCTTCCCGCCGCGGCCGCTCCCGCGGCCCTCCCCCCCCCACCCCGCCTGGGCCCGCGCGCCCGCCGCACCGACGTCCCCCGTTACCTCGGTGGTCTCCGGATCCAAAACAAAACCAAAACTGAAGGAAAGGTCTCCGACGTCTCGATCAAAACCAAAAAAAAAATCGTTTACGATAACAACAAATCTTAAAAAAAAATCCCTCCCCAAATCCGAAAACAGGCAGGAAAAACGATTTTAATTAAAAAAAAAAAAGGTCTAAATGGCCGCTCCAGTCCTCCGACGGCCACCGGGTCCGGGGAAAGGCGCGAGTGTGCGGGGACGCGTGGTCAGCCTGCGCTCGCAGCGCTGCAAGTCCGGCTGGCGGGGTTCCGGGGCGGCGGCGTGGCGCGGTCTGGAGCCGCTCGGGGAACGAGCGCGGATTATAGCGGCTCCCGCCGACGCGTCAGTGGGCGGGGCGCGGCCTGGGTGCGGAGTCTTTGTGTATCAACACCACCTGGGCTCCGCCCCCTGCCCGCCCAGCTCCGGGAGGGGGGGCCGCCCGCCCCGAATCCCACCCCCACCTACCCGGCGCCCCGCGCTTCCCCCCGCGGCCGCCAGGAGCAGGCCGTCCCGCCCGAGGCGCTCCGGACCTCCGAGTCCGGGCCGGGGCTCCTCCGCGTGCGCGCTCACTCCTGCCCGGCCGGGTGCCCACCGGCACGCGGGTGTACCCACGGTGCGTGCTTTTCCGGGGAACCCGTCCATCCGAGGCCAGCGGGGCCGGGCAGGAGAGGGGCGCGGTGTGTAAGGGGATACATCCGAGCCCTCCACCTCTTCCTTTGCTGCTTGTGATGCTTTAGATGGTTAAGATGGGAATCTCTCTCGCGTAAACTTAAATCCCGGCAGCAGTATTGTCGTCCCCACCCCCCCACCCCCGCACTCCCCACGTTTTGTGGGTCCGTTTCGGTTCGAAGTGCTTGACTTTTTGCACCTTAGATCTGGGTTCAATCCTCCAGCTGAGCCTCCTGAGGTCCCGTTGGCAGCCACGTGTGGGGATACCATGTTTGGAAAACCCTCCAAGGGAACCAGGAACCTTGAGGGGACGGGCTGGGGTTAGGCGAGCTGGGCGTGGAGGGAGAGGTGACCATGGGCGGTGGTGACACGCATCTGGCGAGTGGTACCCCTAAACTGGCGTGTCGACATTGAACCCCCCCCCTTTGCACAGCTGCTTCGCCAGGAAAAACTTAACTTGTGAGGGGAGGCGAGCTACATTCGATCAACGAGGGGGAGTCGGGGTACCGTGTTGCGAGGAGGTGGAACGTGGAGGCCCAGCTCTCCCGAGCCTTCCAGGAGCTCCCCAGTTTCCCTTCATTCCACCTTCCCACCCCCGGCTGCACAGAGTACTTGTTCATCTCAGTTCGCCTTTTCCTCGCAGGCATTCTATTGGGGAGCTCCTGGGTTGGAAAGCTAGTCCGTGGCTTCCTCCCCCAGCCTCGTTCTCTTTCCTTCCAGGGTGGGGTGAGACTTGAAAAATCTAGGGTTCCCCCCCCTTCAAGTGAAGTGCTTGGGGCTGCCCGGAAAAGCCTGAGCCCTTCCCTTGAAGGAAACAAAAGACCCCCCAAGGAGCAGAAATGTTAGTTGAATGAAGGAATAAACAAATTGACCTACTGATCCCTTCCTTTTGGAGACGTGGAGGACCTTGGGCAGGGCATAGAGGAAAGGGTTGGGTGTAATTGCAATTTTTGCTTTCAATGTTTTCCTGAGGAAATCTGTACAGCTGCCTATTTCCGTGGCACGTGAGACTTAGGGTGCCTTCAGCCGCGGTGCCAGTGTTCTTGATTGACAAGGGGAGGACTCGATTTCCCCTTTTATTCTCACAGTTTGTGCTCCCCACCCTAAACCTATTCTGGTCAGACCAGTCACACTGAAACAGCTTTAGAGCCAAGCGTTTCCCCTCACCCTTCTCAAATGCCACCAGCCCTCAAGGCTTAGTCATGGAGCTCCAGGAAACCCTCGATCTACCTGCAGTAATACCTTCCTCTTCAGACCTATTTTTTCCAGGAAAATGTGCACAGGACTCTTAACAAAAAAAAAAAAAAAACCTGTATTGTCTTGTATGGTACTCGGATCGTTCAAATTGTTTCTCTAGAGAGATTGTGACAGCTCCAAAGGCAGGTTTTGAATTGACATACAATTAGGGCTGAAAAATCTTAATTATCTTTCTTTCTACATACATTGCTTAGTAAGACCAATCAAATAATTCTTGTCAGAACAATACTGGTGATGGGTTCAAAAGGATTCCAGGGGGGCTGGGAATGTGGCTTAGTGAACCCTTGGGTTTAATTCCTCAATACCAGATACACAGAAAAAGCTGGAAGTGGCGCTGTGGCTCAAGTGGTAGAGTGCCAGCCTCCAGCAAAAACAGCTCAGGGTTAGTTCCCAGGCCCTGAGTTCAAGCCCCAGGTCTGGCCAAAAAAAAAAAGAATTCCTGGGAAATTCCTTTATACTAAGGGTCCACTGATAAGAGTGGGGGAAGAGGTATATCTTAAACCATTTTTTATACTAGATGATTTGCTGGTCATTTTTCTGTCCAGCCAGAAATGAAGGTTTGTGGTGATGGGTCGTAGTTTGTACTGTAACTAGACTTATTGTCCTTAAGACTTTCTGGTGCTTTGGATTACAGTACATATTTCAGAGACAAGTAGTTTGTGTGTGTGTCCATGTGTGCCTGTATAACAGGGGTATATAACTGAAAGTTCAGGACCTGAACAATAAATAAATGACCATTTTTTTAAAAGCACCCATTTGATTTGTCTTTTCAAGGGCTAAAGTGCATCCATTAACACAATTGATTTGCAACTGAGGTTTGATGTGCTTTGGATTTTCACTGTAATACTTGTTACAATGTATGAGACACAGTTCACTCAGTCAATTACTGGTACAACCAAATAAGGTGATCATCAGAGTGCTAGGATTTTGACTTCTAGTGTTCTAGAAGTCAAACTGCAGAAAGGGAACATACAGTAGTAGATTGATGAATTCCTACCAGCTTATTTTATTTCCTTTCCCACCCTCCCTTTCTTCTTTCCTTCCTCCTTTTCCTTATTTTCTTCTTCCTTCCTTCCTTTCCTTCCTTCCTTCTTTCTTTCCTTTCCTGCTGTGCCCATACTAGGGCTTGAACTCAGGGGCTGAGTTCCTTCCTTTAGCTTTTTTGCTCAAAGCTAGCTAGAGCTCTATCACTTCCAGCTCTTTGGTGGTTAATTGGAGATGAAGACTGGTAGACTTTCCAGCCCGGCTGGATTCAAGCCTCCATTCTCAGAACACAGCCTCCTGAATAGCTTGGATTCTAGGCATCAGCCACTGACACCTGGCTTATTATCATTATTATTTTCTTTACTGCATTAGAATGGAATAGAAAAAAAATACTACATGTTATTCTGTAGAACTGAGTAGCTATGGGGGGAGGGAGATTCTGCGTTGTGATGTAAAATGTCTTCTTGCTGGATGCTGGAGACCAAAGAATTCTGAAAGTTGAGTTTACTACTTATCCTGAGACAGTCACAGAGAAGTTGTTCACTCTGACAAGGATGCATTGTCAAGGGAGGTTGTTAAGTTGGTTTTAGTGAGAGCAGATAACTATAATACCATTGTTTACTTATTAAAATAGAGTGTTTCTCTTTCCTGGGGCTAGTTACTAGTTGTTGCTAACTGTCTCAGCTTGTTAAATAGCTGGTCTTTAGGATAACCTTTAAAATTCTGTTTATTCAGTACTTCAGTATGCTCAAAGGGTAGTTAAATGTTAAATTTGCTTCTCTTTACTCTTCCTTTCTAATTAGTCTCATTCTTGGATTGGCTTCCATGACTTTCCTTGATCTGGCTCAGCTTGTGTTTCCATTATATAGGCACCTTCTTAGGGAGACCCCCAAGTAACTCTGCCTCCAGGTCTCATACCATTTTATAATCCCTTCTCATTGAATATGGATTGGACCAAATGAGGTACTACTACTAGGCAAAAATTATGGCAGGTCACTTCTGAGACTAGGTTACAAAAAGACTGTGGCCTCCTCCTCTGTCTCTAAGTTGATATCTGACAAAACTGAGCAGCACCTGACCAATCAGCTGGAAGGCTGATCTTGCTCAGACATTCTAGGTAAAGAAATGATAATACATGTTTATTATTTTAAGCCACTGTTTGGGCACTCTTTGCAACTGATTGATAGACAACTAATAGATTCTGTAAGATATGCTTTTGCTAAAATGTATTGTTCAGTGTTTCAATAGAAACAACTCAAATTGTTCCCACTGCTTAGAATATTCTTTATGCCTCCATTTCTCTGACATTCTAAAATATCCCAACTCTATCTTCCCTTAGAGATTCAACTTAAATACATCTTTCATAAACTTCTTTATTCGACATTTCCCATTTGAGACTGGTTTCATTCTCCTTTCAGCTAACAGCTTTGTAAATATCTTTTTCTTCCTTCTTTCTTTCCCTTCCTCCCACCTTCTCTTCCTCCTCTCTTCCTTTCTCACCCTCTTTCCTTTGTTCATTCTGTGCTGGTAGGGGGCTTGAATTCAGGGCCTTGAGCTCTGGTTTAGCTTTTTCCAATCAAAGCTGATCACTGTTATTTAAGCCACACATCCACTTCTTTTTGCTGGTTAATTGGAGAGAAAACTCTTAGACAATTTCTAACCAAATTAACTTCTAATTATGATCCTCAGATCTCCTGAGTAACTAGGATCACAGGCACAAGCTACCAGCTCCCAGGGCAGGACTTTTCGTGTTGTATATGTACTTGATTTTTGTGTATAGGTAAAACTATAGAAAGACACTAATGGGCTGGAAATGTGGTTCAGTTGTAGAGTGCTTGCCTGGCTGGCATGAAGCCCTGGGTTCGATTCCAAAGTTCCACAGAAACAGAAAACGCAGAAGTGGTGCTGTGGCTCAACTGGTAGAGTGCTAGCCTTGAGCAAAAGAAGCTCAAGGACAGTGCCCAGGCCCCGAGTTCAAGTCCCAGGACTGGAAAAAAAGAACAGAAAAAGAAAAATGAAAAAAAGGAGAAAAAAAAAAAGAAGAAAGACACTAGTAGCCTCTATGTGACTATACCCTATCTAGTCACTTGTAAAAGCAAGTTATTTTTTTTTGAACAAGGTTATTTTTGAACATATAAATGAATTCAATATGCTCCTCCTTGCCTTTTTTCATACTCATTACTTCCTGGGAAATTTTGTTAAATTTGTTTTCTATTTGTCTCTCTTACTAGAATGTAAGCCCAGGAGAGCAGGGACTTAATTGGTTTTGATCACTATCAGGCCTTAAGTAAATGAAGGAAATTTATAGAATCAGTAGAAACCTAGTGGCTAACACGTCTAAAGGGCATTTATCTTATCTCTTACAGG